ACCTAAATCAAATACCTTTTGAATATAGCGATTAAAGGAAGGATAAATATTTTTCTTTTTCAGAGAAAACAATTTTGACCGAAACAGAGAAATAATCTCAAAAGTTTTTTCATGAGACAAAAGAGGTTGATTACAAAAATGTTTTAACCACCATTAAAAAAAATTATTTCCAATAAATAAATAAGAGGTGAATTCCAAATAAATTAACGCATATCCAGTAAAAGTATAAATGAAAATACGGTTTCGTTTAAAGCCTATATTATTTTTTCTCCCTGAGAGAAAGCAAAAGATTGTTGAAATATTAATTTGAAGAGGTCTCTTGGAGGCGGATAAAGCAGCCAATCTGGTAGACCAACCAACTCCTTCATTTCTTCATTACACCCCCATTAGAAATGTTACCGCTTTCGTTACCATAGCAGCAGACAGCCCCAGACTTTTTGTCGGGAGCTGTTCTCCTCAAAGCCGCACTATACGTATATTTTTCATTACCCAATAATATTTTCAATATCATCAGTTTTGCTATAATCTAATATAGAAAGTTTAATATTTTCATTCATACTAATTACATCTGCATTTTTGTTTTGGGAAATTAAATAAGAAAAAATTAACATATATAGCAATGAAATAAACTTTTTTTTTATCTTGTTTAATCTGAAGAATACTTGAAGACATATTTCACTTATCCATAATGCTAATCCATAATGTTCGTGAAATATCTTCAAAAATGTCTGCAGACATTTAAAAAGAAAAGCCAAATCTTCAAAATGACTATGAAAAATCTGCAGACATTTTAAAAGCAAATTAAAACTTTCAAAATGACTATGAAATGTCTACGAACAACATACAGATATTTAAAATAAAAATTAAAATCTTAAAATATTTGAAAATTTCGGAAGTAATTCTGAAGAAAATGACTTTTTCTGGAGAAATTCTCAAAATCACTTCTTAGTGCGATAGTGTTCTCAAATTTTGATGATTATATAAAAATTAATTTATATAATATTAAACATTGTTTATTTCATTAATTGTTACAGTTATTCGGTGCTCCACGAACTTGGCAACGAAATAGTAAATAAGATCATTACAATTTCAGCAAGATTTCGCCCTGAATCTAGAGCAGTTTATATAATAGTCGCCCTTATAACTTTCAAGTACTTTTAAATTGGTTGGCTCAAGTTGTTCAAACTAAAGTTTTCTCTCACATTATTAGGTTTGCAAAAGAGAGTAGCAAAATACCAGCACTTGTTGAAAAACAATATGTGTTCTTTCAGTTGTTTATTTAAACCATCAATGGGAACTGCAATGGGAAACACTAAAAGTGGTTTTCATTTGCCACCGAAAGGATACCTTCGTGAGCTAAGAAGAGAAACAAAGATCCGTTTCAGAGACACGCCTCAAAGAAGAAGCAGTGTTGAAAGAACACAAAAAATAGATGAACCGTTTAAAGAGGGCCATAGAAGAGGAGTAACTAAAAAGGCAATAAAGGAATTTATAATCAGCAACCCTGAGTTTCTTGACGATTTTGTAAAAACTTATGTATCACAAGACAGAATCAGAGCTTGGTTAAAACTGACAAATACCAAACCAAGATTGAGTGATAAACTAAAACAGGTTAATTCAAATCAAAGCGAAGAATTTGCAACTGAAATTGCTGAGCGGCGCTTTAGGCAAACGAAAGCACTAGTTCTGACAAGAAACCACCTTTTTTACCCGTTCCGATTTCGCATGGAAGAATTCAGTAGTTTGATTGCCCGTCCAAGCACCCAAGCCGAGTTTCCAGAAATGAATAGCCACTTATTTCCTTATACAGAAATTTACAACGATGACATAAACAGAGTTTTCATCAGCATGACCATGCAGCTATTCGGTCCACATGGCTTTCCGCTGACGGAATTGTGCTATTTCTTATCGAGCTTGAAAGCCAATTACTTCAATGTGGAGTACCACAATTACAGTCATGCCCTGAGTCATGCTCAATCTATGTTCTGGATGCTGAAGAAGAATCCAGGTGTGTTTACCGAAAATGAAATGAAGGGACTCATGATCGCAAGTATTGCTCACGATGTGGGACATTTCGGTGTCAATGAAAGGTATCTGAGAGAAGTGGGGAATGGTTTGGAAAGAATGTACCACAATCCCATTCTGGAGCATCACAACATTCAAGTATGCTTTTTGATTTTGGCAGATATAAATTGTAATGTGTTTTGCGATATGAGTGCTGAAGATTACAAAATGGTACTTGGTTGTATCCGACACGCAATCAGATCAACCGAAGTGAATCGATACAAAATGCAAGTTCAAACAATGCGCCAGCTTCTCAGTTCGAATTTAGATTTCGATGATATGGAAGTGAAGCATGCAGTGATATCCCTCATGATGATGGCTTGTGATTTGTGCGCAGCGTGGAAGCGTTGGCCGGAACATAAAAACACCGTTTGGAGTCTTTACAAGGAGTTCTTCTATCAGGGCGATAAAGAGATGCTTCACGGTATAGACTCGCCCCCCCAAATGATGAGGATGAATGCTGAAAATATTCCTTACTTCCAGGTGGCTTACATGGAAAACATTGTTCTACCCATATTTAGGCTAGTTTCGAAAGTATTTCCGAATTGCAGATCAATACTTAAAGAAACTATTGAAAACTGTAACTTTTGGAAATCGTACGAGACGAGTTGATTTATGTTGCAACAAAGCCATTTTGTTTGACAAAGTCCAAGTAAATTGAGAAGATTACATGAAGTACTCTTTTTCCAGCAATTTAAATGTTATCATTCAAAAAGCAAATGCTCATATCTAAGACAAAATTATTTTAATAAACAACTTATATTTTGATTTCCATTTTCAATGACTGACAGTGTTGAACGTGTGAAATTTTGTTACAGTGATTTACTTTTTTCTTTATATTTTGGATTTTTATGGCAACTGGTGGCTCTTTTGGTGTACGCATTTTCTTGTTTTGGAAAAATTGTGATTTTTAGTTTTACTCCAATAACGGTTCACGTATATTTTCTTCAAAATGTTTTGTGAATCACGTATCTGGTGAGCTCTTCGATTAAGTATAACATTTAGGTATTTATTTTATCAACTCATGAATTTTATAACATGCAAATGAAAGGGTTATTTGCACGAGATAAACAAAAAGAGGGACTTTGTTTTGATTAGGCTTTAAAAACAAAGCTCCGATTTTAAAAATACAAAAGTACTTTTATTGTCCTCAGTAGCTTTTAATTTTCATAATTACGACCTTCTCTAGTTTAACAAGTTTATCAATCCTTTCGCTTTTGAGAAAACTAGTATGACTGTTCAATCAAAATCCTCAAAGATCGAAATAATGAACTAATTTATTAGAATCTACTAATTAAAGTAAAAAAGATATGACTTAAGGGTTATTGGGTGGTAACAAATATTTTGATTTTTAACTCAACATAGATATTTTTGGCAGAAATTTAGTAATGTGCTTATTCTTTAAATTTATTAGAAGGACCCGGAAATTTGCCATTTCTGAATAAACAAAGATTTCAGCTTTATGTCATTTCTGATAAAGGAGCTCCAATGAATATTTATATAATATGTGTTACTTTATTATCCAACTGATATACATAAAAATCAAACAGCCCTTTACTTTTCCATGCCCGTCCGCCGATGCATACTTGTCAAACTATCTTTTTTTGATACAAATAAGCACTTGTTAGCATTATGAGTGTAATCTGATATATTAAAATCGACAACTGATTATCATAAAACTGTAGTCAGAAGTTAAAGGGAATTTTTTTTTTCGATTTAGTATTTATTCAGAGTATTTTTGCATGTGAAATTTAAAAATCGGAAGTCATGTAAAGTCACGTAATTCTTAAAAAAAATAAGTCTTCTGTTATTCTATAACTGGGAAAATAGTGTAATTTTACAATTTAAAATAGTGTTCAGAAACCACCACCCTAATTATACCGGATGAAGTATCTAATTTCTAGAAGAACGTACTAAGAATTGTAATGGTGGTTAGCAAATACAAGCTGGTAAGGGCTTTTGCATATGTGTTTTGATGCAGAAAAATATATGGCAAATTAATGTTTAAAGACTATAATCATGAAATGTATGGATAATTAAGTTTTCAAAAAGTTTCATAACTTGACTAAGACTGTGAAAAAACCAACCGTAGCTCTAAAGGTAAGCCGCTTTAAGATGCATTTTTTCTACTGAAGGGCATATACTATTTTTTAAGCATATTTCACCGTTTATTTTTGAAACCTCCCAAAATATGCAAAAAAATATTCACGTTGCTGTGTTTAAAGAGTTATAAATTACAAACGATATGTTATAAACGAGATTATTATTTAAACTGGTGAAATAAACACAGAGAGTACACTATCTTTCATTTTTTTTGTGAATACTTATGAACGATTTTAAACTATTATTTCAGTGTAATACTTCTTTTGACATAAATAAATCACACTTATATTTTAATAACAGTGGTTCGATATTGCAAATATGATTTATATTTTCTGTTCACAACCTTGTCCATTACTATTATAAGTTAAAATAAATACCAAATTTATTCTAATTATAATTCCAATGCTACAGGTATTTGACAATTTTGTACCAGAGTAAGATTTAAGGCTTTGAGCAATGTAAAGGGAAAAATTAGAGCATATCTTATCTTCAAAATAAAATTAGAAAAAATTATGTTTTATAACGGAATAAGAAAAATGTATTAAGGAACTTCTTCCAACAAAATAACATAATCAAAATAAATATTATTGTAAAATAACGAGAATATAACTAGTTTCTTATCAACCTGGCGCACTTAGACAACCATAATATCAAATAAGAACCCATAAAGTTATTTAATAAAATCAACCAATTGTTGTAACGATTTATTTCTAAATTTTATCAATACATTTCTCCAAATTCTCACTCCCCATCCATGTATTTAATTTGCATAGAAAACCTTCAACAGCTATTAATAGTGTGCTTTGCCTTTGTAACGTGCACCTTTGTAACGTAAGCATCTAAACAGCGCAGTTTCTTCCTACGGGAGCGTACGAAGGCTAACGTAAAAGTGCTATTAAGGTTAGTTATTAACTTCTAAAGTACTGCTAATATTATCAGTTGCCCTTAACGAAATTTCCTCAAAACGAAAAAAGAAATAAGGATTTAAATAATTTTAGCGATATATGTTACAGCGTAAATACCTATACTACAGACATGTTGCTTTTTGTTTCCATAACTAACACATGATGAGTTCAAGCTTATGGAAAGATCAATTTCCGGAAAAATTTTTACTTGAACACAGTCTTGCTTAATAAAAACAGATGTATCAATGTATTCAATATAAATTTATTATTCAAAAGGCAAAATTTATAATAAAGAGTCGATGATTTGAACATACCTGTATTTTCCTGGATGCATTCATTTTGTATTTAACAGCTTAAATACAAAAATTTTAAATTAAGCTTGAGGCAATGTGATAGTCCACATTTCAAATAATTTCGGGGAGAGATTTTTTTTATTTTTAAGAACGTCACGATATCTAGTATTGTGCTGTTGTCTAGTGTAAATTCTGGAAACTTTTGTTGCCAGTATTCGTAAAAATACTAAGTAATAGTTTGATAATAAAAAAAAATATCAAGTTATGTGGGCTTATCTCTATATCTCCTCTTCACTATGCTAAAGTAACATATTTCCATTTTTTGATGGATAAAAAATTAGAAAACTTAAATGAGTGCATTTAGAAAGAAAAAACTTTGACTACTCATAGTTGCGACCGGTGATACCTGATTGCGCTCATGGTTTTCTAAAACATGGTGGACTGCGCTGCGAACATCTTATCCCCCTTTAATAAAGGTTGGTGGACTGCGCTTAAGGCAACCCTTATGACCATCCCTCCAACTTCTTTCATGCAGTAAAACCATTTCTGATAAAAGCATCGTCTCGCCAATATTGTTCGCCAGAAGCTAGTGTGCTGAGGTTGGAGGGGGATTTGTCAATAAGTTTTCCTCCATCTTTTAGTAATTTTCATTTGAAAGGAATTTTTTTGTAGGTTTTTAAATTTTAATACTTCTGTAATTTTAAAATACAAGCTATATTTAAACTATGAAAGAAAAAAATTCTAGTTCAAGATGACATAGGGCTTTCAGATGACATAAGGCTTTCAAAGTTTCGAAAATCGGTCAAAATTTTAATTAGACCGATGCAATTGTTTCAAGAATATTGGTTAAAAAGTTTAAAAAAATATACATTGGTCGCCCACTTGTCGTCTTAAGTTGGTTAAAAAGTAAAAGTTCAGGGTGTAGTATCAAGTTTTAATTAAATTGAAAAAACCCTACTTTAATATTTAATAATTTGAATTTATTTAATATATTTAATAATTTAAATAATTTTTTTACATGCAATTTTTTAATATATTTAATAATTTGAATTTTAAACCAGTTTTAACCAATCTATCGTAACCAAACTTCTGCATAACATTTTAAAAAAATATATGAACATAAAATGTTTAAATTTTTACAGTTCATACACTAAAAAGTTTATGACTACAACTCTGACCAGAAGCCCTGGTCGGCAATCATTATTTTTTTTACTCCAAAATCGTACATATTTGATTTAAATTGGATTTTTTTTATTTGAATAAAATTAATTGGATTTTTTCAAAATTTACCATCCAAAGCATCTGATACAATATTTTAATAATACTATTGCTTAAAAATACAAAAAACACATATAAATGAAAAAACACATATAAATGAAATATGTTTTTTGCCAGAAAATTATTTTAAACATATTAAATTGAACATTACTATTTAAAGGTTTCATATCAGTCTTATTTAAGTGTAGTTTATTTTGAAACATAATAATTTATATGCATATTCCTTTCGATATTTCTTAGTAAAAAAATCTTTCAATTCAAATCAAATTTCTTGGTAAAAAGATATTTTTAATTATATTTTTTTCAATTAATATTTTCTAATCATTTTGTTGAAATTATTGATTTATTTTTTTTAAAAAAAATAATCACTATTGATTTACATCAATGCATTTTATAATAAAATAATGAAAGGGATAACATAGTGATTTCAATGCATATGACTTTTATTATTCCGTAGTAAAAAAAATCGCTTCCTTAATAAACATACATTATCAATTAAATCAGACTTTTAAAAATTCACACATTTAAGAATGTATTTATTAATTATACTG